TAATAATAATAGGGTAAACTTGTTGACACGGTTTATTTCGGCTGTCTTTCTCTCTTCAGAGTACTGACATTCCCTTATTGATGTGTCACGCACGATCACACATTAAACCTTCCAGCTCACCCTCTATTGTTTATTCTAGAAAAAATGTCAGTTTTTCCCAGAATTGTGGTGAAAGCGCTCGACATCGTCCCACGCTGCGACACAGGTGAATATAAAATCCCCATCACGCTGCAGCCGAGTGTCTTCACGTAAGCAGAAGTGGATGCGGCGCTGGCCTTGTTTGGATGTAAAACAGAGCAGAGAGGTGCGGGTATTTACTTGACAACAGCTTGTTCAGCGTTAATCGCTCAACCCGGGATTCAACCCAAAACACCGGTGAACTTCTAGTTCCACTTCCTCGACCTTACATAACTACAGGGAGACAGTCAAAAGGGAAAATGGTGTAGAGCTCAGATAGATAATTCTGTCTGTTTATCAGGCTCGACATCATCTCCAAGTGGCTTTTATGTTTCATCTGTGCTTGTTTTGTTTGTCTTCTAAGTCTTGATACAAAAAAAGCAGAATTGTTATTCCTCCACCTTTGAATGCTGGCACACTAACCCAGATATTATTTATTTGCAGGGTACCTTTTTCTTGCATCTGTCTTTGCTTTATATGCAAAAAAAAAGAAGAAAAAAGAAAGATTTTACATTGATAAGTGCAAACAATTTCACCAGAATTTTTTTCTTTTCCTCATCGCTGAGGCAGTCGAAATACTATGCATTTCTCAGCTATGAGTTTTTTTTTTTCGTTTCACAGTGAACCGTTACAGTGAAGATAAGCAGTGAAGGACAGGAAAAGGGGGATGGTGTGAAACGATAACCTCGTATTTGTATGTTTCACTTTTTCCTCTTAATCTCAACAAAGAGAGAGAGAAAAAAACAGCCAGGGTGCAGGCTGATGCTGGAGCCAACTAGATCAGACCGGTAGCTGTTCGAGAGCTGGGGGGAGGTGAAGGAGAAGTGAGGAGAAAGGGGATGGGGAGGAGGAGGGGAGATGAGATGGAGGATGGAGTTGAGGGTGGGAATGAAAATAGGAGGGAGAAAAAGGAGGCAACTGGAGACACAGTGTGGACGGACGGGCAGACGGCTAAGACCCCCGCTCCCTCAGTGATGTAATGCATCAGGCACAGGGCTATTTTTAGCCACACTAGTACACTTAGCCTGAGCACAGGCCTGTCAATCAGCTCCACAACGCGCTGGGAATAAAAGAGCTGCGTCCAGTAGATCCAGTAAATCATTATGTTTACTGGGTCTGATTCTCAGCTGGGCCGTGGTCACATTTTACAGCATGACGCAGTGTTTATGTTGTGTTTTGGCTTTGCAGTTTCAAAGAATTTCTACTCAGCAAAATTGTTTGCTGTCTGCATCGTTTAACACCACTAAGTTGAGAAACAAAAATTTGGGGATTTTTTTTTATTATTTATTTTTTTCTGTTTGTGGCCAGATTATTTAATCAAAAAGAGCTGCAATATTCTGGATTCTTTAGATTAGAGGTCATATTAGACCTTTATTGTCATTGTGCAGAGCACAATGAAATTACAGTTCAGAACACCCATTCAGAAGAAGACCTAACATAACAAACGTAGGAGAACAGGTGCCCTGGGTCATGCTGCCACTGACCCTGCACAAAGCAAGGATCATCTTCATGAAGACATCATGAGGAGGCACAACCCTTAACAGAAAAACTAAAAACCACACATATCAACAATGTGACACACTATGGTGTTTATAAAAAAACCTCCTTAGGCGTCATGGAAAAAAATTATAAAGGAATAAACTAAGATTTAATATCCTGGATTTTAACAGGGTTTATCAGTGGTGATTTTAGGGAATAAAACTCAAAGAAACAAATAACTACATCTACACTAAACTTAAAGATAACCAAAACAAACTCATAAAGGTATAAACACAAGAATCTGACAAAAGCATAACAAAAAACTTGGGACTGAATCGAGGAGCTGAAGACTGATGAAAAGGAGGTGTGATGATTAATAAATGTGACTAGGTGTGCAAAGGAAGCAGAAGGCTAAACAATAAAAAAATGGGTTCTAAACAGCAGCATAAATCCAAATACATACTCTGTTTTTGGGCACCATTTCTGATATATTAGCAGACAAGGAGCAGGTAGTGCTTGTGAGTTTTGGTGATTCCTGTTTTACCTAATATTGCGCCAGCAAACCACACACACGCTTGTAATTTGTTCCTGCACCATTGCTCAGTCTCTGCTTTGAATAAAACCGTAGTCTGCATGTCAGGACAGATTGACTTCTGGTATCTTACACAAACTGGTTGTGATGCCTTTTACATCTGCACATGTCATCTCAGCAGCCCACCTCTGTCATAGCTTATGGTATTATTGACATCTGCTAATATGACATTAAAACAAGCAACGACCAGTCTAACCCTCATTCCAGCAGATAAGACACTCTGATAAAATCCATGTCATCTCCAGGCCTTTATTAAAGAGCCATGTCACTTCCTGTTTATCAACCATGTTCAAAAAGTATATTTTATGTTTTTGCATCCTTTCAAGCTAATAAAATACATAATGTGTCATGTCAGCTGGACCATGAGTCAGCATATTGATAAACCTAATGATCCAGTTAAGTTCCCTCCAAAGAGTTTATATTCATGTTGCTTCGTGACCTGACAAGCACTGGTTAAATGAAACCCGCCTTGTCTCAGTCAGAGGAGATGACTCAGGTAACGTTTAACTGTCTACCTGGTTTTGGCCCCTGACCTAAACCACGTAATTTGGTCCTTAGGGTGTGTTACACAGCACACACATACACATCCCTTTTTTCAGTCTTCTGTCCCTTGTTTTTTTTATTACAATGGTGTTTTATGTCTGCACAGGTTGACCACTTCAGTCTATAAGCCAGCTCAGTTCTTTGTGTTTTAGATAAAGTCATAAACAAAGGCAAAACAGCTCCTCTAAAGAAATCATTCAATTCAATAGCTTTTGTATCCTTATTACGTCAAGAGTTCATGATTTGATGTTCATATACCATGTGGAAAATTCCCCCTTATTTATTTATTTATTTATTTATTTATTTAATTCATTATTTTCTAGCAGTATGCATGTGTCATATTTTCCTTTCTGCCAAAGTGTCTCTTTCTGCCAAAAACACGCAGTTTTATTGCATAATCATTGTTCTCATAAACTACCTGCTTTGGTTCTCAAGTCAGGCACAATTCCAGGTAGTTCAGGCATGAGTTCTGTTCCCGTGCATTCCCTCCTACTCATATCCTCTAGGCAGGGTTTGGAGCATGCATAGGAAACTGACTCATGGTTACTCCTTTTTTTATTATTATTAAAGAAAAAAAAACTGACAGAGACTCCGTGACCTTTCTGCTCAGCAAAGAGAAGCAGCCACAGCTGGAACATCCAGAAGCAGACATTTTGGTGTTTCCACTTGGTTTAGAAAATAAGAAAAATTAGCACACGGGAAAAGAAATAAAAAGTTTTTTTAAAGTAGAAAAACAGACATTTTGAAGAGAAAAACAGTGAATGGTTAGTTTTGTTTTTTTTGAAAACCTTGAGCAAAAGAGACATTCTAAGGTACAGTATCTTGCAGTATCAAGATTAGAATTAAAATAATCTTATTACTTTAAAGCAGTGACCTTTGTTTGCATCTAAAACTGTTCTAATATATTATGTTAGTGTTATTGTATTGTACATAATATGTATAATACAATAACACTAACATTATTACCTAAAACATTTCTGAATAAAATGTTAAGTGTCAACATAGCTGCCGCCCTAAACTCCAACATTATTTTTCTATTGTTAAAAAAGCCCTTATTTTTAATGCATAAACGGCATAAGAAGTGTGAGTCAAATGTAAATATCCTTGGAAAGAAAAATGTTCTGGTAGAAAAAGAAGAGAAAAATGTGATGTAAAAAAAAGTTTATGGGACTAAGAAAAGTTTTTTAGGGACATCAACTGCCAGTGGAAATAAATCTGTCAAAATCATAAAACCTTATCTGCCACTCCAGTCAAATAAATCCCTGTTTTTGTGAAACTTAGATTTTTTTTTCTTTAAAGTATGCCTGAGCTACAGAGCTCTCATGTGTTGTGCTAAAAATTCCATTTAGCTCCGTTTTCTTTCTCGCACTTTTTGGACATTCTGTCTCTGTTGTCATCCCACCTGAAGACACTGCGTCGTTCCAATCGAGCTGCATGTTTTGGTGCACGATTTGCATGTTTTATTTTAACAGGGCAGACATTTTGAACTGAACGGTAATAAGGTTGCTTTAGCATTTATGCATCAGCAAACCTACATAGTTATAAGGCCTCCCAAACCCTCGTGATCCTGCTCGTCTTCTCTTCTCTTCCTTTCTGCTCCGCTGAGCTGGCGCCGGGCCAACAGGCCGCAGGTTATGTAACATGCGGCTGACTGCATTGGCACTACAAGTGAATGAAACTCTCTGATGGACAGCTGGGCTACTGCGTATTTATTTATTTATTTATTTATTTATTTATTTATTTATTTATTTATTTATTTATTTATTGTTGCTGCCCTCGTGGCTTTTCTTCTCATGCAGGCCTCCATCTTTACAGGTTTTTGCCCTGATTTAGGAACGCCTACAAAACTCTCTTTACCCAATCTTTCTTATAAACACAAACACAATAAAGCTGTTTTTCTTTTTGCCACTTTATGAAAGACCTGCACCCACACATTTGTATAAATCTTTGTGCAGAGGGTGCGGATTATATGGAACATGTTTATTTAGGTTGTTGATGTTTATATGTATTTCTCTTGCCTGCGTCTTACTGCATGGTGGTGAAGGCTGCAGTAAAATCATCCAAATAAATAAAGGTCTGCAGAAAAGGAGAAAAATGGAACTGAGTGCAAATAAAAAAAGGCTTCTCTTGCTTGTTTAAAATGTTTAAACTCATTTGTGAATAGTTGTAAATGTGTCTTTTTTTTTTTCTTTTTCGCTTTTTGTTGCAGTTGTGCTTCCTGGTGTCCGCTTTCCGTGGTCGACTGTTTTCAGAGGACAGCTGTGCAACTCTGGCGCTCTTCTGCCACTATTTCTATCTGAGTCAGTTTTTTTGGATGCTGATACAGGTAATGACAGGATACCAAAACATGCGATACGATAAAAAAAAAGTTGCATGACTCAAACTTCTTGAAACATGACTGGTTAGGGTAATGTATCATTTTAATCTTTAATTCTACAGGCATAACACAGTTTTAAAAAAGTACGAATTTAACCTTTCTTATCATATGAGGGAGTTACTTTTAGGTCATTAAAGTCCGAAATGTGGCTTTATTTTTGCTTATTTGGCAAAAAATGTATGAGAATTCTTTTTTGTTTTGTTTTGTTTTATATGAGCATAGGTTACCTCTGCATTAAGAAGTAAACTGTTGTTCTTACACTACAAAGTTTGTTTTTTCTGTAGGGCTAAGATTAGCCCTACAGAAAACTGATTATTGCTAGAAATAAACTTTGACCTCAGCTTTTGTTTCAGTTTTTAAACACCTCACTCAAATGTGTGAAGGCATGAATTACTTTTAATTTAAAGAAGTTTTAAAAATATATATCCTCAAACCTCAAAGATATTTGTCCTAATGTGTTCTGCTAGCTGTGCTACATATTTCTATGATGGCTGTGTAATTTTTTTCCTCTGCAGGATTTTATCCCTCAGAGCAGGTAGGTGGTTTCTGACCACAGGAATGTTGTAAACATGGAGCTTTTCAGTAGCTCATTCAGAGTTTCTTACTGCCCAAATAAGAGACACGTCTCTTATCTCATCTGATCTTATAGAAGAACAGAAAAACATACGATTTTAGGACACATTCTGATTAAATACACTATTTGGCACCCCACATTATTTATTTTTATACATCATATGTAGTTATTACATAAGTTATTTTACAATAGCTTTTACTCGTCAGTCACCAAAAATGTAGAAACAGCTGTATTGAAAAGCTCAGAAAATATTCTGAATATTATAAAATGTGATTTAAATGTTGAATCAAACGTTCCTTAATCTATCATTTTGGGTGATTGCGTATCAGATTAAACTGTTTACAAATGGTTCAGTAAGCCAACATTGGGCCATTAATTTGATGTATTGTATTAAAATTAAATCTCTGATTTTTCTCCACATACATTTTTCTCCTTGTTTGGACCATTTTACAAAGATAGGCATATTTAATTTTGATGTGGATTTAAGCAGTAAACATAAACTCTTCTGCCACTCACTGTGGATTTTTTGGTGAAGAATAATAGGATTATTTCCTGAATAGGCTACAAGAGAGAATGGGCCTCATGCAAGAACATGTTCGTATTTTTATCCTAAATTTCTCTTACTTTTGTTCGTACAAAGGGTTCGTACGAACATGTCACGTCAGATTCAACAAACT